GGGGGGCGCGGGAGGCTGGGAAGTTGTTTAATGGGATCACAGTTTCAATTCTGCAAGATGAAGAGTTCTGGAGATTGGTTGTACAACAATGTACACAACTAAACTGTACACTTAAAAGCAGGTAAGATGGTAAATACACTATATTATGCTATATGTATGTTACCACAATTATAAAAGAAAATAGAAAGCTTGACTGTCCAGGTGAAAGGATGAGTTGACTTGCACAAAGGTCTGAGTGTTGACATGAAATTTGTACTAATTTGAACAATCAGCTTTATTTCTTTTAGAAGCTTGTTCTGTCAGCTTGTAATGCTGGTCTGGGGTGAATTCAGTTGTGCTATTTAGCAGAGAACTTGGCAGACAGAAGGCACTCAATATTTGGTGGACAAATAGAGTTTTAAGTTTCTAAATAGTAATTGTACAAGAACTGTATCTCTCCCCACAAATGAGCACAGCCAAGTCCATTTGGGCCTTTTCAGAGCCCTGATCATGTGCCAAGCCCTCTGCTGATACCAGGGGACACATCAGACTCATGCCTTGTGCTCAGGCAGTGCAGGACCTAGCTGGGGCAGAATTTGCAAGCTGGAGACTCACAGTGGGCAGCATGTCCACATCGTAGGCAGTGCCTCTTCACTGTCTGCCCTGTGCCCCAAGAGACCAGATGCCTCCAAGCTCTGTGCAGTGGAGGCGAGAGTTGTGTGTGACCTGCTGAGGGTTTCGGGCAGAAGGAGTCACAGAGAAATTCCCCAACACCTGAATTTTTCAAGTTGGGGCATAGGGTGCTGAGGCCTGGGAAAGGAGGAGTGTTAAAAAGTGGCCCCCAGAACTCGGCTGAAGTCCCCAGCTCCCATGCCCAGGTGCTCCCTATACCATGCTGCCTCTCCCATCCCTTTGCTCCCGACTCATCCCAGGTCCCACAGAGATATCCATCTTAGGGGACTTCCCCTCACTCGTGTAGGGGCTCTGGCACCCACTCACCGTTGAAGCGGACTGCCCGAATATACTGCAGCAGTGTCCGCCCGTCGGTGGGCTCCATCTCCGGGCACAGGCCTGTATGCCCAGGACAGAGCGCCTGGTGCATGCTGTGCAGGGCGTGGGCAATGGCGTACACCGCGTCGATCACAAACTGCACCTTCCCCTCCTGCTCGTAGATAGAGTCTCGGCCGATGCGTTCTTCACCTGTCCTAGGGATGCCCAGAGGAAGTGTGCCTGGCCCCAGATGCTTGACCTGGCCTCCCACCTTCTCCATCACCTCTCTTGCCACCCTTTGCACCTCTCACCTGTGCATTTGCGGGTGGAGTCGTCTGACTGGGTACCTGAGCTGGTCAGTTTGCAGTTAAAATTATCTTCCCAGAACTCTGCAAACCAGATGTTCCGGCGATTGTTCTCCAGGGAGCGCGTCACGAAGTACTGGTCAAATCCTGAGAGGGAGGGGGAGGAGGGTGGCAACCATCTGAACCAGCCAGTTTCTCCTGTGTCCCTTCACCACTTGCTCACTTTGCAGCTAGGAATGGCCATGAGACCAACTTCTGGTCTGTGAATTAAAGACATCTGGGGGCTCTAGGGTAGAATTTGCATCCTGATGCAAACTCAGAGCCTCACTACATGAAATACTTTTATGCTGCACATTCTTTCCTGGTTAGGATGCTGCAGTGAACATGTAATGGGTGGAGCTTCAGCAGCCACTTAGTAAATTTGATGCCACAAGCGTGAAGAAACATAGCAACCACAGAGGAGGGAGAAACAGAAGAGGGGACAGAACTCAGGGCTTTGACTTACTACCACAAACCTGAAGTCTTGTCTTGTGATGAAACGCTTTCATTACTAAAACTATTCTGTCTAGTTCAACACTTGCAATTGAATGCATTCTAATGGGGGGGGGGGAAGGATGTGAGGTGGGTGTACACCCCTAAGGGGTATTAGTGTGGGTGTCAGGGCTCAGCGTTATGAGGGTTCATGCTTTACAAATAGCCCTGACATCCCTCATCAAGCTGTCTTCAGTTTAGTTTTTGGTAAAATCAGCAATTCTGTTGTAAAGTGGACATGCCTGCTAGATTCTTCCAGATATTCACAGGTGAGATGGTGGGGGCGGGGGGAGGAGGGGAAGCCTTATTACTTTGAGCAACAGGACAGCATGTCCCACTACCTTGGTTTCTCTCCCTCCCACCCTCACCCTGAAATCACAGTGCCTTTGACAAAATGAGGAATACAGGTATTGAATTAAAAAATAAAACAAAACAAAAAACACAAACTAACAATTTTTTACCCTGTATGGTGGATGTGCTTTGCCTCATTTGCCAGCTCATTCAAACACTGCTTGGAGGGATGTATTGATAGAATCTCAGAATTATAGAACCTGGTAATCTTAGAAGGGACCTGGATCTCAGTATAATTATACCAATGGGGGAAATGAGTCCCCCAAGGGGGATGATGGGGAAGGATGGGGTGGGGGTGGGGGACAAAGTGGAGGAGGGCATCCCTACACTCACCATCAATAGAAGCTCTTTTGGGCAGGATGGTGATAGCCCCCACTGCCACATCCTCCAGGTTCAGGATGGGTGAGGTCTTGGCTCCCCAGCTGTCTGAGCCAACCCACAGAAAGTGGCCTGACAGGTTGGCCTCGCGTGCAGCCTCTAGGACTCTCCTGGTACAAACAGGGCTGGGGGTGAGTAAAGGCTTGAGTCTTCCTCCAGCTTACCTCTGGTCAATTCTCATTCTTCCCTCTCCATCTATCCCGTTCCACATCACTCATCAGACTCTCATATTTCAGGAAAAATGGAGTGTATGGTGTTTAGAACACTTGCCCTAGGCTTCTCAGGTGGCCAGGGGTCCAGGCAGACCCTGGCCCAAGCTTGCCTTCTGTAACCCGATTCACACTGCCTGAAAGTAGGGCCTCCCTTCTCCTGCAGAGCCTCCTGCTGGCTCTGCCCTGGGGCTCCTTCCCCGATGCTCATTTTCTGCACTTAGATCTGCCCACAGGTCTCCCCTATTGTGAATTAAGAAAACAGACATATATTCTTGTGTGTTTCCCTGGCTCGACTTAGAGCATCTTCACCTAGACTAGGCCTGCTTCATTTCTGGGGGCACCAGGCAGAGATAGCAGCAAGAAAAGTGTGCAGGGGGAGGGGGGAGCAAGAAAGAGGGAAAGGGTGGAAGGGGGGATGTGCATGTGGGGATGTGTGAGAAGACAAGGCAGGGCCTTCAAGAGAGCCTCTGAAGGACAGTGACTGAGGTGCCATCCATCCCACCTGATGTCATCCTCGTTGGCAAAGATGATGATGCCCCGAGCGTTGGGTGTCTCCATGAGTCGTCTGATCACCTTGTTGAATTCTCCTGGCTTTGGTTCTCTGGGAATCTTGATGGACTGGGCAATACAGACTCCCCCTGGGTGTCCGGGATGCCAAAGTCAGCTTTCATCAATCCCGCCACCCACCAGGGCTGCGACAGTGCATGACTATGTAGAGTAATTACTCAGGGGCCTGTGCCAGGGGTCTGCGGGGGTGAAGCCTAGCCTGGGCCCCACCTGCCAGGCCATGAGGCAGGACTGAGTCCTCAAAGGTAAAGGGCACCGCTGATAGAAGACACCATTCAGGCTCCCTACCATGGACCCAGTGCCCCTATATCACAGCCCCTGGCTCACCCCTCTGTAGACTCCTTGGTGTCTCCGACCCTCCTGCCCCAGCTCACCAGCCTCTCGGGAGATCTGCACAAAGGCTTCAACCCCACTCTCGCCATAGTTGCCCTCAGAGGCCAGCGTGGACACATAGTTCCATCCCAATGCCCGCACGATGTCCACCATGGCCTGGGCCTGGTAGGAATCGGGGGGCACCACACGAGAGAAGAAGTCGTAGCGTGTGGAGTCGCTGAGCTCCGGGGCCGTGGAGGCATAGCTGATCTGGGGGATCTGGAGGGGGAAAGGACACCTAAGCTGTGGCTAGAAAGTCAGTGACCCCAGGAAGGGAAGGCAGTGGGGACCCAGGACACAGGTGGGGGCACAGAAGGTTTGGGGTAGGGAGCTGAGAACCACTGGGAGTGGCCAGAAGGTGTGGGGAAGGGCCTGCATCTTGTGAATAGGTCAGATGAAATAGGGGAAGTCTGAGGGTCTAGGGCAGAGGGCAGGGCCGCCACATCCAGTTGTGCAGGATGTGTCTGAGCAAAGGAGCGGTGGGAGCTCAAATCCAGCCTGCAGCCAATCTGGCCTCTAGGCACAGGCTGTGTCTGCCCTGGAGAGGGATATCCTTGTCAGCCCCAGAGGAGACAAGTTTTCCTTGTCTTCACACAAAGGAGCAGTCTGTGTGGGTGGGGGCAGCCCCAGGAGGGGTCAGAACAGAAAGGGGAGCTGGGGAGGAGCATTTGATTCAAGGCTGTGTCTGACCCAAGGGAGGGGCCTGTTTGGAACTGGGTTTATCTGTGTGCATTAGAGTAATTGATGGCCAGGATGAATGACCAGAGCTGACCCAGGAGAAGTGGGGCAGCACAGGTGAAAAGAGAGGGACAACAGTAGCCAAAGGCTGAGAAAGCCAAGAAGAGGGAGGGTAGCAGACAGCGGGGCAAATCAGAACCACGGAAAAGAAAGACATAGTCACAAGGGAAGCATCAAGTGAGAGCTGGTGTGAAAGTCAGAGGGGGGAAGGTTCTGGAGGGAGGGAGCTGAGCTGGTCTAGGGGGAACAGGGTTATTCGAAGCAGGACAGAAAGAAAATGTGGAGTGAGAAAATCTATGGAAGGGGGAAGGCGGAGCTGGAGGAAGAGGGAAGGAGAGCGAGAAGGAGGAAAGGAGGCCGATAGGAAGGAAAAAACAAAAGACAGGGAAAGAGGGACGATCTGAGAAAAGGAGGCAGAGGAAGGCCTGCCGGCAGTGGGGCAATTAGCCGAGGCTGAAGTTACTCTGGGCACTCCAGGCACTGTAGTTTAATCTTCAGAAAAGCCTTCCGGGTGGACCCTCCTTAGGGAAATTCCTTTAAAATGCCTGAGAGCACAGGGTGTGGTTGAGAAGTGAACTCAGAAACTCTCATCTGTACTTCCGGGCTAGAAATTGCAAAACCACCCCCAGGGAGCCAAATCGGCCCATGATTGTGCTTTGTGCACCGTGTCTTTATTTTTTTTAATGTTTAAATTCGTAGCCAGTGTCTAAAATCTGGAGGTGCAGCACCACCTCTGTCCTGGGCTGAGCTGGTAGCCTTGGGCCCTGGGTTCACAGAGTCGTGCTCACTCAGCTACAGTCCTCATCTGGACCCTGAAGGCCCTGAGTTTGAGTTGCTGCACTAGACCTAGAGGGAGAAAGACAGAAACCAGAGCTCCAGGCAGGGAAGGAGACAAATGTGAACACACTTGAGCTAGTGAGACAAAGACACCTCCCAACACACACACACACACACACACACACACACACACACACACACACACACACACATTGGGCAACCACACAACCTCTCTCAGTGCCAACTAGAAAGTGCAACTGTATGCTCTGCACCAACACTGCCATCCAGTAGAAACTGGGGTGGGGAATGAAGTGGGTGCAGATGATGGAAGGGAGCCCAGAGAAAACCTCCGCCTAGTGCCATGGAGGTAAAAACAGAGGCCACTTTTGGGATAATCAGAGAAACTCAAGAAACAGAGGTCCCCTGCCCAGCCAGATGGAAGGAAAGCCCTCCTCTCTTCTCAGGTTCCAGGGAAAACTTGCTCCTTGTCACCCAGAGTTCTCACAGGGTCCAGGGTCAGGACCTCCATGCACGGTTGTGCAGGGTGTGCCCCAAACTAGACACAGGAACGAGAGGTCAAGTGGAGTCTAAAGTCCAGGGCGCCCTGCTGTCAGCTAAGGTCGGTTTCCCTGACCGCACAGCGGGCTGTGTGTGCGGGAGGCAGCCGCTGGGGGGCGCCAGAGCAGACAAGGGCGGCTGCAGCGGCCGGGAGGACCCGGCTGAGGCAGGCAGGCGTCGGGTTGGACGCGTAGGGTTTCTTTGAAGCAGCTGTTTGTCTTTGTGCATTGGAGCGATTTCTGCAAGGAGCCTAGACCTCAGCCACCCCAAGGGCAAGGACCAGAGAGAGGGGCTGGGCGCCCTACGCGGCCCTCACCGCAAACAGACGCAGCACGTTGGCGACCATGATGGAGACGGAGCTGGCCGAGGCCCCCACGACAGCCACCACGCGCTCGGGGGGTGCGGCGCGCAGGGGAGGGACGCCGCCGGGGCAGCGCACTGCCGCCT